GACAGGGTCTGCCACCTTCAGAGAGGTCCCCCAGAGACCTCTGACCTTTCAGAGAATCCTCCTTACAGACTTTCCAGCCAAGGCCCATGCTTCCCCACATGTGCCCATTTGTCTGTCTACCTCCACCTCCTCACCAAGAAAACCTGATATGGTGTGTCCGGGGAGAGTGCTTCCAAAGGTAGCAGGTCCATTTAGAGAGAAGAGTGACATCCCTGCTCGCCAGCAGGGAGGCTCACCCATTGGGGATGTTACCTGCATTTACCGGGTCAGAGCCTGGGATGAGTTAGTTCTGGAGCCCCTCCACTGCCAGTGTCCCATGGGTCCCTCTGTGGGTGCCTGGTCTGGGAGATACATTCCAGGCTGGGTGCTGGGTTCCAGTGTCCTCTCCACTCCCTCCAACTTGCCCTTACTTTGACAGCTGAATGTTGGAGCCACTTCAAAAATGTACTTCCTGCCGAAACCGGTTTGGCTCAGTGGATAGAGCGTCGCTCCCAGGTTCGATTCCGGTCAAGGGCATGTACCTTGGTTGCAGGCACATCCCCAGTGGATGGTGTGCAGGAGGCAGCTGATCGATGATTCTCTCTCATCGATGTTTCTAACTCCCTGTCCCTCTCCTTTCCTCTCTGTAAAAAATCAATAAAATATATTTTAACCAAAAAATGTGCTTCCTGGTAGCAGGTACCACCACCCAGAATTGTTCTTCATCTAGGTCCATCTTTCTGGCTTGCTGCTCCTGATACAAAAGGAGCTCAGGACGGGGGGACCATGTCCCATCTTCTTGCCTGCTTAACCCTGGTACCTGCCTCAGGCCTCTGGGCAGACAAGCAGCAAATGTGCCTTTTGGCAGAATGAAGACCCACTGCCTCTCCAGCAGATGAAGCAGTCTTGGGAGTCAGGGGGGGGGGATGGGGTTATGGAGAGAGGGGAGGATGGAGACAGAGGATTGGTTGGCCATCCACAGTGGGCCACGTGGAGCTGGGCATTGAAAAGGCCTATGTTGAGCACAAGCATCTTCGGAACCCTCTCAGCAGCCACCCCCAGGAGGACCCATGAAGGAGGGCCCCAGCGTGGTCACTGCCTTCTCTGCCCTGTCCTAGTGTGTGTCCTGCAGCTGCTGTAACAAGTCACCACAAACTTGGTGGCTTAAAACAATAGAAATGGCCCTCGTCGGCTTGTCTCTGAATAGTGTCAGCCCGTGGACGGAAGGGTCCCGGGTTTGATTCCTGTCAAGGTCATGTACCTCAGTTGCAGGCTCAATCCCCGGCCCTGGTTGGGACTAGTGCAGGAGGCAGCCATTGGATGTGTCTGTCTCACATCGAAGTTTCTTTCTCTTTGTCTCTCTCCTTCCTTTCCACTCATTCTAAAAAGCAATGGAAAAATATCCTTGAGGGAGGATTAGCAAAAATGAAAATTAAAAAACAAAAAGAGACCCACAAAATTATCTCTGTAGTTCTGGAGGTCCAATATGGGACTAAACTTAGGTGTGGGCACCTCTGGTCCTTCGCGAGGTTCCAGCAAAAAATAATTTCTGGACATTTCTAGCTCCTAGAGGCACCGTATCCTGGGCACTCGGCCCTTCCCCCATCTTCACAGCCAGCAGCACAGATCTTTCGTCATTCACTCTGACCCTGATGCCTCTCTCTTACAAGGACCCTGTGTTAACACTGCCCTTTGGGGGACCTAGGATCATCCCCAATCTCAGGGGCCTTGGCTTAATTTTATCTGCAAAGTTCCTGTTGCCACATGAGGTGACATGTCCACGATCTAGGGACTAGGGCCCTAAACATGTGGGCAGTCGGGAACCTCTCTGGCCCTCAGACTCCATGTCTAATGTTGAGACGCTGCCCACTGCATGGGCTCTGTAAGTGGCCACATCAGAGTGTAGCAGGCAGAAGGGGCACCTGCTCTGATGACAGGCGGGTGTGCCACTCTGGACATTCGCTCTGCACTCATTCCGCACACCACCAGCTGCATGGCACTTCACCTTGTAACTTGTCCTGGGAAACCTGACTTTCACTCTGTGTCTCTTGAGATGACTGCAGCATTTGGGGCTCTGCTTAGTTTTGTTTTGTTTTTTGTTTTTTTGTTTTTTTAAATATATTTTATTGATTTCTTACAGAGAGGAAGGGAGAGTGATAGAGAGCTAGAAACGTCGATGAGAGAGAAACATTGACCAGCTGCCTCTTGCACACCCCCTACTGGGGATGTGCCCGCAACTCAGGTACATGCCCTTGACCGGAATCGAACCCGGGACCTTTCAGTCCGCAGACCGACGCTCCACCACTGAGCCAAACCGGTTTTCGGCTCTGCTTAGTTTTTGATGTGCAGAGTGCATCTAAGCTAGTGGCACCACCTGCCGGCCTCCGCGTGGTGCCACTGGTCTGTGAATGGAGGTGGTCTCCGTGGGGAGTGAATCCATCTGGGCCAAGAGGTTTACCTGACTGTCACCCATAGGGTGACCAGTCCCTGATATGAGGCCCCTGGGGTCTTTTCCTGGGGAGGCCTCTCATTCCTCAGACCCACAGGCCCTGAGCCTGCCTGCCTGCCTGGGGAGAGTGAGCTGCTGACTGTCTGGCTTGTTTGGAAGCCATGGAGAGGACCAGATGCTACGAACAGGGACCAAGACAGCCTCCACCACCAGCTCCTGAGAGCTCACTGGCGGGTGGCAAATGTGGCCCAGGCGGGGCCAGTGGGGAAAGTTAGCTGCTTTTTTTTTTTTTTTTTTTTTTTTGTCTGCAAAGTGGTGGGTATGGCCAACTGGTCCACATCTGGGAAAGTGCCCACTGACTGTTGGAACTTACTAGAATGGAGCCATGGCTACTCCTTTTGTGTCTAGCCCCCTGTGAACCTCACTCACAGGATGCTCGGTCAGGGTGGACCTAGAGCTCAGCTCTGTTTGCATGTAGCCTGGTGCTATGGTCGGGATGATTTGGGTCTACCCTTGGGAAACTGTCCTTTTGAATGGGAGTCTCCGCCTGGGACAGACTCTCAGACAGACACAGGCATCTCTGTGCCCAAGTACGGCCGTGCTGCCACAGGATGGTCAAGTGTGGCGAGGGCACATGTGTGTGTGGGTTTTGCTGGGCAAGGCCTGGGCTTTGGGAGAATCTGGAGGGGGAAGGGAGGTGCAGGTACGCTCTGGGGAAGCCAATGGGTGGACTTTGAGCAGGCAGGGCCAGGCTAGGCTGGCAGGACGTCGGAGGAGGTTGAGGATGTGGCTCCAGTCCCCAGAGAGGCAAGGAAGGCCTGAAGCCATCATCAACCCCCTCATGAGACTGTCCTGGGCTACAGTGGACCAAATGTTACAACAGGGTAGGTGGAGGGAGCAGGAAGAATGTAGCCAAAAAAGGGATGGCTGCTCCCAGAGGTTTACCCAAGATTGAGGGGTGCTGAGGTGCTGCTGTCCTACTTTTCTCATCAAAGCTCGTCTACTGAGGTCTGGACAGTGGGGTTTGGGCCTTCAAGCTAGCACAGTCTCACAGGAGCCCCAGGCTGTGGAGGGCGGGCCATGGGCACACTGGTGCCCCTCACTCAGCCTTCACACCTTCATCTGCATGAGGGTGTGGCACCTAGTTCTCGATGCTGTGGAGGCGAGGGGCGATGCTGGGGGGGGGGGGGGGGGAGGCTGCATGAAATAAAACATGCAAGCCCGCTAATGTGGAAGGTGGCGGGAACATACTGGGAACCAATGGCTGTGTCCTGCGTTTGGACCAAGCACCTGGCTTCGGGACTGGGCCACCTCAAGGCGTGCCCGTGTGTGCGGTAACGACCTGTGAGGGACAGGTTCCTGACGGGCTAGAGCTGGTGCTTCAGCCACACAGTGTGCATGGCCCCCGTGATGGGCCAGCAGTTCATCAGAGAGGCCATTTGGGGATTTGAGAATAGAATTTAGGCGGACCTGCCTAAATATCTCAGTGTGGGCCTTTGGGCTCTAGCCAGAGGAGTAGAGGGCCAGTGACTGCCAGGGTTCTGGGGCACAGGGCAGGCCCACAGCAAGAAGCTGAGTCTGCTGAACCCCTTCTGTGTCAGGCTCTGTCCTGGCAACCTGCATTACCCTCCAGGCTCTGCTGTGCCTGAGGGGAGGCAGGACTGGCAAACGCTTTCTTGTGAAAGCACCAGAGTGTGGCTGTGGGCCTGGGTTGTCCCTGGGTCTCAGTTTGCCATCCCTGCCATAAAGAACAGCCCTCCTTTCTGAGCTGCCACTCACTGCCCCAGCCTGGGAGGCAGAAAGCCCTTCTTCCTCAGATCGCCCTTCCCTCTAGAGCATTGTCTTCCAGCCTCCTATCTCACTCCCCTTCCTCCCCTTCCTGGAGAGGCCTCCCCAGATGGGGTGGAGCTCAGTGGGAGCTGGGCAGAAGCTGGATGCTGGAGGTCAGTTTCCCTGGGTCACAGCCTGGTCTGTCTGGCCCTGGGATTCAAGTGCCTGCATAGGGCCTGGGCTCCAGTGAGCCCTGGCAGATTCCTGTGGAGTGTATGCACCCTCCCTGGTACAGCCCAAACCCATGCCCAGCCCCATGCCTCCTTCTTGGGCCGGGAGCCAAGGAGCCAGGGAAATGGTTCCTTGGATGGCTCCTGGTCTCAGGGTCTGAAGTAAGAAGGCAATGAGATGGAGGCCTGGGTTGGAGGAGCAGGCACTTGGGGTAAGCCCTTGGGAGTCGGGGGTAGAGGCAGCCTTGCCCTAACCAGGACAGAAGTGAAGCGTCCTGACAGAAGGCCCCCCAGAGGAAGCAGGGAGAGCACTGTTTGTGCAGGTTGTGTCTCCCCGTGACTCCCAAGGCCTGTGGGGTAGGCCACGCCCAAGCTCTGGGCCGCTGGGAGGGAGGACCTGCCACACGGTAGGGAAACTTGGCCCTTCCTGAGCAGCGCTCTGTGGTACCCAGGTGCTGGTGCGGCCGCTGCCCCCTGGTGCTGAGCTGTGCTGCCCTTCCTGCCCCGGGTTGACTTTGGCTGCTGGACGTGGTGGCCTGACGTGGCCGGCAGCTGCCCTGCCCTGCCTCACCATGGACCAGGACTATGAGCGGCGCCTCCTTCGGCAGATTGTCATCCAGAACGAGAATACGATGCCGTGTGTGAGTAGCGGTGCTGGCCTGGCCCAGTGCGGCTGGTGGGGAGATGGGGTGCGGGGTATGGTTGACCACGGGGCTTCAGCCCTCAGCAGAAGAGGGAGGTGCTGTGCAGGTAGAAAACACATCCTCCCCCAGAACTCCTCCCCCATGACGGCACCCCAGCCACCAGAGCTGCAGGGCCCCTCCCCTCCTCCTGCCCGAGGCCCCTTATTCTTCACTGGCCTGTGCCCCGGCCTGCAGAGGGCACCAGCTCTTCTCTTGGCCATAGTCAGGACTGACTGGGGGATGAGGGCATGTGAGCCACCCTCCATTTTCCCAGCAGGGCAGTGAAGGGCCCAGACCACAGAGCTGGGGCTCAGCCCTGGCCCCACAGCCTGTGCAGGAGAGTTGGCCTGGGTTGGCCAGGCTGACGTGGGAGGAGGTCAGGGTACTGGGATTCAGGAGCCTGTGGGGCAGGGTGACCGGGCTGAGGGGTCTTGGGGAGATCCTTCTGGTTGGCCGGCAGTCCTTGGCTTTTAGATCCATCACTTCGGTCTCTGCCTCATTTCACGTTCCCCTTTCTGTGTCCGTATCTCTGACTCTAATGAGGATACCAGGCATTCATTTTAGAGCCTCGGACTTCAGCGTTCTCTTTTGGAGGACACAGTTCAGCCCACAGCAGATAGCTTATAGATTAAGGACATTCGCCAGATAATGGAGTCGGGGTCAGAGGGTTGGCTGGAAGCTGCGCACCCCCCTTCACATCTCGGGTTGGTGGTTGAGCTGTTGCTCTCTGGAGAAGATCAGCCCCAGGGGCAGGAATATAGGCGGTGGGGCCACAGGTCCTCACAGTCAGCTTTCTGGTCCTGTGGTCGCTTAGAAATATAAAGCCACCTTGTCGCGTGCTGATGTCTTGGGCTCTATTGCTCCCTGGCCTTTTTGCCTCACAAAGCTGCCAGCAGGCCCAGCATATGAGTTATTTACCCAAATGTTTTACCTCTGCCCCTTGGTTTCCAAGACGGAACCCCTGGGTCCGTGGCTAGAGACCAAAGGCAGCAGTAGGATGGGCGGGTCAGGCTGTGGCTCTGAGGCACCCAACTCCCCTGCCATCCTTTTAGGTCTCAGAGATGCGACGGACCTTGACACCTACCAACTCCCCCGTGTCCTCCCCCAGCAAGCACGGGGACCGCTTCATCCCCTCAAGAGCGGGCGCCAACTGGAGCGTCAACTTCCACAGGATCAATGTGAGGATGGAGGGCGGGGCGGGGCGGGGCGGGGCGGGGCGGGGCGGGGCGGGGAAGAAGCCTGCAGCGCAGCCACGCCATTCTGGCTCACCCCTCCCCCCCTCTCCCGCAGGAAAATGAGAAATCTCCCAGCCAGAACCGCAAAGCCAAGGACGCCACCTCGGACAATGGCAAAGGTCAGGAGTCAGGGCCGGACACCCTCTCTCTTTCACCCCCTCGCCTTGTCCCAGCCTCTCACTGTGTTTGGTGCCGGCAGATGGCCTGGCCTACTCCGCCCTGCTGAAGAATGAGCTGCTAGGGGCCGGCATCGAGAAGGTGCAGGACCCTCAGACGGAGGACCGCAGGCTGCAGCCTTCCACGCCCGAGAAGAAGGGCCTGTTCACGGTGAGCCTGCCAGCCATGTCCGTACTGACGGATGCTTCCTGCTGGGGATAGAGGACCCTATTCTCCATGACTGGTCCAGGCTCAGCCTCATCCCTGCCTTCTGTGCTGTGTGGAGGCTCCTCCAGGAGACCAGCCGCCCTAGGTTCCTCCTCCTCCACACACCAGCCCTGCAGGGAGCCTTGAACCCCAGAAAGGGTGGGAGAAGGCAGGGCCAGGCCCCTTTAACCCTGAGGCTCGCCCTGTGGCGCTCCTTGGCATCTGCTGAGACAAAGGTTACTCTGGGGCAGGTGCTCAGGTGCAGAGTGAAGGGACAGTGGCCTCAGCAGAGCCACCCCACAGAGCATGCCCAAGCCATCCCGGTCATCGGGGCCCCTGGCAGTGTTGAAAAGAACCTGACTTCAGGATGGCTGAGGGGCCGGTGGCTCTGAGGGGGCAGGGCATGCTGGCAGTCACACCTACAGGGGTCCTGGTTTGCTTTTCTGAGTTTCCGGGACTCAGGACACCCCTAGTTAGAGTCTTCTAGTTATGGCAAGTAGCTCCCTCCCTCTTCCACCTAACCACCAGGAGCTCAGGCACCCAAGCTCTGAGTCTGAGGCTCCTGAGCTGTGGGCCAGGGTCCACTCAGTAGGTATGTATCCATGCTCCCTCCAGTATTCCCTCAGTACCAAGCGCTCGAGCCCTGATGACGGAAATGATGTGTCTCCCTACTCCTTGTCGCCAGTCAGTAACAAAAGGTGAGCTCAGGGTCTGAGGGTGGGCCAGGGCAGGGTGAGCAGCCAGGCAGTACAGTGAGAGCTGCAGTTAGTCTCTCGGGGGCACACTGTCAGCCTGAAAGCCAGACTGGGGGAGGGGGAGTCAGGGAGGGCTCTCTGGAGGAGGTGCCAAGCAGAGGGGACGGTGTGGCTGTTGAGGCTTGGGGTGGCCAAACACCCAAGGGCAAAGGGCCTTGTGTGCCTGGGGTCACCCACAGTTTTGGGATCTTGCAGGCAGAAGGGCAAGATGAGCTGGAGGGGATATGCCAAGAACTAGTGTGAACAGGGGTAGTAACATTAGCCAAAGAGCAATGATAACCGCGTGGCTGATTGACAGAAAATCACCGTCTCGGGCTCTCCCTACAGTCAGAAGTTACTGCGGTCACCACGGAAACCCACCCGCAAGATCTCCAAGATCCCCTTCAAGGTTCTGGATGCACCCGAGTTGCAGGACGACTTCTACCTGAACCTGGTGGACTGGTCATCTCTCAATGTGCTCAGTGTGGGGCTGGGCACCTGCGTGTACCTGTGGAGCGCCTGCACCAGCCAGGTGGGTGCTCCAGTGCCTACAAGTGTGTGGTCAAGTGCTTGCATGTGTGTGTGCCTCGGGTGTGGGGTGGCTTCCTCTGTCATTGAGTCGGGCTGGCCCATGTGAAGAATAGTAAGTGTGGCTGGTGCTCCAGAGCCTGGGGCAGCACCTGGCCAACCTCTCCCACCTTCCAAGTACAGACTGGACTCAGGAATAGCCAGCAGGTACGAGCGGAGGCCCTTCTGCAATGACCAGTAGTCCTTACTCTCTGCCTGTGTCTGCAGAGGAGGGGGAATGGGTGTTTGGGCCTGGCTGAGCCTCCAGCACTCTCTGAGGTGCGGCTAGGCCCACCACAGGCTCAGACAGGCCTGCCTGGGTGGGAGGCTTTCAGAGGTTAATGCGGGGAGTGATGCATTAATCACCAAAAGAAGGTGTGATGCCCCCTGGAAGAGAAGCACCCCCGGTGTGTGGTGCCCTCGTCACCTCCCCAGACTTTCCAGTCACTCACCCCTGTGCTGCATGTGTCCCCTTGCAGCCGGCAGCCTCCTGGGCACGCCAGCACCATTATCTCAGGCCCCCGCATTAGCCCCAGTGCCCATAGGCCTGAGGGGTGACTGAATGAATAAACGGATGGATGAATGAACGAGTGAACAGTTGGGGCCTTGAAGGATCAGCGGGCAGCACGTCAGCTCACACCGACCGCTCCCTCCTTCCCCCAGGTGACTCGCCTCTGTGACCTCTCTGTGGAAGGGGACTCGGTGACTTCCGTGGGCTGGTCGGAGCGGGTTAGTATACAGGGTTCATTCCTGGGCTGGGCTGGGCTGGGCTGGGCTGGGCTGGGCAGGGGAGGTCTGACTGGGCTTTGCTGGCAAGGGTCCTTGTTTGGGGGTCTGGGAGACCCAGAGTGATGTCTGCGTGCTGCCTGTCCCCACCTGATAGAGACTGTTACAGTGACAGGGTTGCTGGCAGGACTCCCCCACAGACATAGCGTTAACCTCAGGCCTTTCAGAGCCCCATCCTTCACCCCGCCAGGAGGCAGGCCAGACTCAGGCAGGAAAGCTCACACATTGAAGTGCATGGGTCTTAAATGTGTGTTTGCTGATTTTGACAAACCCATCTCCCCAGTAAGTTCCAGGACAAGATGGGTGTCACCTTGATGAGAAGGGACATGCAAGGAGCAGTTAGAGCAGAACCCAGGGAGGCTGGGTCCTCACACCAGGGCCCAATGCCTGCTCTCGTCCGGGTCCTTGGTCCTAGGGCCATGATCGGAAAACTGCGGCTCAAGAGCCACATGCGGCTCTTTGGCCCCTTGAGTGTGGCTCTCCCACAAAATACCACGGCCTGGGCGAGTATTTTGAAGAAGTGGCGTTAGAAGAAGTTCAGGTTTAAAAAATGTGGCTCTCGAAAGAAATTTCAATCGTTGTGCTGTTGATATTTGGCTCTGTTGCCTAATGAGTTTGCCGACCACTGTCCTAGGGGAACCTGGTGGCCGTCGGCACACACAAGGGCTTTGTGCAGATCTGGGATGCAGCCGCGGGAAAGAAGCTCTCCATGCTAGAAGGCCACACGGCCCGAGTCGGTGAGGAGCCAGGGTCCTGGTGGGGTGGTAATCCCAGTGGGTGGGTGTGATTCCCAGCGCACCCTGTGTCCGAGAGGCCAGGCCTCGGCCTCACCCTGCCTCCTGTCTGATCTCCAGGAGCGCTGGCCTGGAATGCCGATCAGCTCTCATCTGGGAGCCGGGATCGCATGATCCTGCAAAGGGACATTCGCACCCCGCCCCTGCAGTCGGAGCGGCGGCTGCAGGGCCACCGGCAGGAGGTGTGCGGGCTCAAGTGGTCCACAGACCACCAGCTCCTTGCCTCAGGAGGCAATGACAACAAGGTAGTTGTTGGGCCCCTCATTATCCAGGGGATTATCCCACCCACTCAGCCAGCCTTCATCCACAGAGCAGGGGTGACAAGGGAGTGCCCTGAGGGAGGACCATGATGGGTTGGAGTGAAGCCATTCATCCTCCCCTTGAGGGCTTGCCCAGGGGTGACAGCCGCTGGAGGGCCTAACAGCTGCTGCCTCCCCAACACCCTCCCCCCCCCCAGCTGCTGGTCTGGAACCACTCCAGTTTGAGTCCCGTGCAGCAGTACACAGAGCACCTGGCAGCCGTGAAAGCCATCGCCTGGTCCCCGCATCAGCACGGGCTGCTGGCATCCGGCGGCGGCACGGCCGACCGCTGCATCCGCTTCTGGAACACGCTCACAGGGCAGCCTCTGCAGTGCATTGACACAGGCTCCCAGGTGTGCAACCTGGCCTGGTCCAAGCACGCCAATGAGCTGGTGAGTGCCATGGCAGGGCTTTGTGGTGTGCACGAGAAGGTTCTGGAGCAGAAACCCTGGGCCCCTGGAATGCCTTCCCTGGGGTCCTAGGGTGAATCTGATCTGCCCCTAATCTGGGTGTCCATGCCTGCGACCACCAGCAGAGGCTGGCTGAGCTCTGGGTACAGTGTAGCTCCCTGTCACCCTCATCATCAAGCAGAGTTTGGGGGCAAGGGGCTGGGCAGGTCCCAGGTGTCCTTGCTCTTCAGTGGGTATGTCGGGGATGGACAGCTTGATCTGAGTCCTGGGGTTCTGACAGTGCCTTCTACACCCGCAGGTTAGCACACATGGCTACTCACAGAACCAGATCCTGGTCTGGAAGTACCCATCCCTGACCCAGGTGGCCAAGTTGACCGGGCACTCCTACCGAGTTCTGTACCTGGTGAGTCTGCACTGGTGGGCCCCAGACCCAGCACTGGGCCCCCCGGAAGGCAGGGTGCAGATTCACTGGCCTGTGGGGTGGGGGTTGGGTCGTCCAGGTCAGCTCCCATGTTCTGCTTTCAAACATTAATTGTGTCATCACTTTGAATCTACTTTCTTGAACTCCCAGCTCTGTAAGGAAGGGCAGCTGTGCCCTCCTGAGAGTCTCCACACATTAGTTTATCTTCATGATGAAGCACAACCCCCCATCCAACTGCTCAGAAAACCTCTGAGGACAGGTCATCAGATAACCTACTTGCATGGGCCTGCGGACAGGAGCCCCTCTCCATCCCTCCTCAAACGTTCTTCTTTCTTTCCAGAAGAAATGTGCTGTGCTTACCCTGTCAGAGCCCTTGCTCAGTGCACAGAGTAGAGTAGGGGCTGGGACATCCTGAGTTTTTGGCTTTGGTGGGGGCCCAGCCGCCCCGCCCCTGTCCTCCGTCATCGACTCCATTCATGGGACCACCTGCAGGGCACAAAAACAGTGAGGGTCTCTCCTGCAGGCCATGTCCCCTGATGGAGAGGCCATCGTCACTGGTGCTGGAGACGAAACCCTGAGGTTCTGGAATGTCTTTAGCAAAACTCGTTCGACAAAGGTAAAGTGGGTCGGTATCAGCGCCACATGTTCCCCCATGCGCATCCCCTCAGCCTATCCTGGGGGCAGTCCCCCACTGCCACCTGAGAGCCCTGTTCAGACTCTGCTGTAACTTCCCCCGGGCCTGCCTGCATCCCCTCTAGCTGCTCCTGCATTGCTCTGCACCCCCGGCCAGGGCGCCAGGAAACAATGGTTCCTCCTCAGTGCTCGTCCTCTGCCCGAAGCCTCTGTTCCCCTCAACTTCGGGCTCAGCTCTCTCTCCTGTGTGCCCTGCAGGAATCTGTGTCTGTCCTCAACCTCTTCACCAGGATCCGGTAAACCACGGGCCCAGCCATCAGGGCAGAGGAGCACCACCTGTCATCACGTGCATGACCCTCCCTCCTGCATATGTTCCCAGAGGAAGCAGCCGGGGTGGGCGGGAGCCGGGCCCAGAGAGACCCTGAAGATTCTCATTAAAGCCTCATTGCGAACCCTGTCAGCGGTGTTTGGGGGGGGGGGGTGTAGTTGGGCACCACCAGGCATGCGGGGTTCCGGCTCCCTTCACACGAGGTGGCCCCGAGGCCCCGGCTTTGACCGTCTACACTCGGATGGGGATGGACGCCTCCCTGGACCCCACCTGCTTCCCTTGTGTCCATCGTCACTTTGTTGAGGTGCATGCTCTTCCCAGAAGCACGGGTTCACCAGCACTGCCACTGCCCACGTCTGCGACGGGAGGAACAGCTGGATGCCAAGGGGAGGGCCCGCAGCAGGACGTTCAGGTCAGCCCGTGGAGCCACAGGACACTCCCGATAGGTCTCTTTGCGGCCACCTCTGCTGTCCCTGCGCTGGCAGCTATCCCAGTGACTGCTAGGGCCAGGCGTCAGGAGCAGGCCCAGGCAGGCTGTGCACCGGAGGAGGTCATCTCGAGATGGACTTGTTCCCGGAAAACTGAAGTTGGGTCCACTTGTCAGCACGAGCTTGCCCTGACCCTGCACTGCCCTTGTCACTGATGGGGACAGCTGAGCTCTGGCACCAGCGGGACTCGGTTCCTGTGGCTTCTGGGTGTACAGATCTAGGCAGCCTACCGGTGGTGCCTCACCTCCTCCCAGGTTCCGTCCCCAGGTGTCCTGTCCAACCATGCCTGACCCCCGGAAGCCAGAGAGGAGAGCAAGGCGAGGGGCAACCACTGGTTCCCCGAAGCTTTCCAGGTGCCCTCTGACCCTGCTCCCACCCTGTTGTCCTCTGGCCACGCTGGGTACACCTCTCTTCAGACCCGGAGAGATTGGAGCAAGGCGAACCCAGGTGTGGCTAGAGGCAGAGCAGGCCTGGGTGGATGGAGGTCACTGGCTCTGCTTCTAGGTGCCCCTCATTTAGTGTTCCCGCAGCCGGCCATGTGTGTGCATGTGTATATATGTATTTGTGACTTTTCTTTGGATTGTTTTGTGTTTTATGGAAGGTTCCAGAAATGTGTAAGGCTAATTGGAGAAGGGCTTGGCCCACCCCACCACGCCTGGGGTGACAGGAATCGCAGCTTTTAAAGCCTTCATTTAGGAGGGGTGATCGGCTGAACCTGCTTGGATTTGGGGAAGGATGGTCAGCGTCCCAGCATGTGTGTGCCACAGCCTCCAGCAAGGACAGTGTACATAGATGTGTGTGCTTCGATTGGTCATCATGTTATTTTTGCATGAGTCTTTAAATAACAGTTCTACCCTACCACATCCTCACCCTGTGTAGCTGCCGAAGAGCCCAGGAGCTGGCTCTGTGTGTAGGACCCACGCCTGGGAGTTGAGACAACAGAGGAATGTGTGTTCCCGGCCTACGGGTCTGGGGGGCTGCACAGGGAGCCTTGTGTCTCATCTAATGCGGTATCGTCATTGTGCCAGGTGTGGGCTCATGCACGGCTGGGCTGGCTGTCCAGCTGGCTGGGCCGGCTGACAGCTGCACCAGGCCCCAGACAGCCTGGATGTTACAAACAGGTGGTGAGCAACCTGTCTGGGTGAGCTGTCTTTGAGGGATGCCTGTGTCCCTGATTTCATGACCCCGTAGGGATATGGGTAACATGCATCCACACCCTCCTTGCAGCTGGCCTGGGTGGTGGTGTCCACATGCGGTGAGAGAAGTTCTCAGGCAGAGCAGGCGCTGCTGCCACCTCCACCTGACCGGACTGAAAGCAAGGGGGCATGTTCTGTCAGGCTTCCTTCTGTGTGGCTGTTCTGGGGGAGGGAAAGGGGAGTTGAGGGTGAGGCAGAGGCCAGTGCAGCAGTGAGGCCCTAAGGGCCGGGCGGAGACGGGACCTGGCAGCTGCCTGTGCGGGGAGCAGTGCAGGCCTTTCCCTCCGGGGGAAGATCCCGACCTCGGCAGCGGGGGCAACAGGACAGGTCAGATCCCGGCCCGGCCCTCATGGGCTTCTGTCGGGTGAGAGGTGTGAGCTGTGATGGAGGCGGCTTCGGAAAGGACAGCTTCGGGTCCAGGACTCGCTACAAGCTCATGTTTGAGCAAGCGCTGGGAGAAGAGCAGGAGACCTCTGGGCAGAGACTTTCCCCTGTGGGAGGGAGTCCCTGGAGTGCTGGAGAACAGGGAGGCCCTGTGGTCCAGCAGAGAGAGCAAGTGGATGGAGAAGGGGGTGAAGTGAGGGCGAGGAGGGACCTGGGCAGACCTTGCAGGGCCTCAGGGGTGGGCTGTGGGCAGGACCTGGGTCTTCACCCTGAGAGAGCCCTTGTACTGAGCTGAGAAGGAAAGACATGTTGTGTGGAGGCTTGACCACTGGTGCAGGGGCACAGAGGGGCCACAGAGGCTGTGACTGGCCCGGACCAGGTGGAGGTGGTGAAAAGAGGGCAGATCGTGGGATTGATTACTTTTTAATTGTGGTAAAATATACATAACTTAATGTCTACCTTCTTCAGCTGAACATTCCATGGCATTTGGTGTATTCACAATGTTGTGCAAACAGCACCTCTAATTCCAGAACATTTCCATCACCTTCCCAAAAACCACACCTCCACTAAGAGTCACTCTCCGCCCCTGGCAACCAGGAACCCACCCTCTGTCTTGGATGTGCCTGTCCTGGACATTTCACATAAACGGAATCACACGCTCTGTGGCTTGGTGTGTCTGGCTTCTCACTGAGCACCGTGTCCTTGAGGCCCCGCCCCCTGCAGTGGCTGAGGGGTGCTGCCGCGGGTGCGCATGGATGGGCCCCATTTTGTCTGTCGGTGGGCATTTAGTTGTTTCCACTTCCTGGTTGTGAATCATGTTATGAACATTCGTTTGCAGGATTTTGCTCTGATGTAATATGAAACATGAGGACTGGATGGGGTGGGGTGAGGAGGGAGGGGTTGGGGCTGGCAGTTCCCTCCTAAGCATCAGAAGCTCTCTTTGGCTCAGAGACCCCCATGTGGAGATGTGGGGGGGGGAGCACTGAGGCCCAAGCCATCAGGTGTGGCCCCCCCTCCTCCTGTTGGCCCCTCAGCGGGCAGGAGGGAGTGGCCTGGGTGGCAGCCAGGCTACCAGCAGCATTGCCAGGACACAGAACGGTCTTTGTTGCTGTAACAATGGCCTCCCAGGCCTTCTAGGCAGGAGCACCCGGGAGCCCAGAGGCAGACATGCAGACTCAGAGGCGGGAGGCCACCCAGTCCTATGTCCCCAGGAGGACCCTCGAAGTGGACTTCCCGCCTCCTCTCTACAGGTGAGTGACACCTGCCCCCAGGCACGGCCTTTCTGATCAGTGATGGATTTGTTTGGTTTTTCCCCGAGTATCTATTTCTTCAAAAAAGGCACGTTGGTGCTGCACCCTCACTTATCTGCTCCCTGCACCTCCCGTCCACCTGCACCGGGTGCCCTTCCCTCCCCCCACCCCACTAAGTCAGAGCAAGGCAGGCTTGGAGGCTGGGGGGGAGGGGCAGCAATTCACACAAGTTTCCTCACGGTGGGGCACAATACACACAGCAAACTGAGAAAGTAGGTATCTAGGCGTTTCCTAGGATTGCTGAGACACACTGAATAGCTCAAATGCCAGGAATTAATTCTCCCAAGTCCGGAGACCAGAAACCCAAGATCAAGATGTCAGCAGGCCTAGTTCCTCCCCAGACTAGGACAGAAAATCTGTTCCGCTTTCTCCTAGCTCCTGGGGATTTACTGGCAATTCTTGGTGTCCCTCAGCTTGTAGACAGGTGCCTTCATTATTGACCTTACAGGACACCAGGGCCCACCTGCCCCACTGTGACCTCATCTTAGCAGGTTCTGTCTGCCAAGTTCATGTGGTGAGGTTCCAGGTGGACGTACATTATGGGATCACTCAGCCCGGGAGAGTGCCCGTTAATTGGCTGTTGGAAAAGTTATGGTGGTTTTGCAGCCATAAAAACAAAATTAGATGAGTGCTCTTTGTGCCGCTCCATGTGCAAGGGGAAAGAGGTGTGAAACGGAGCAAGTTCCCACATTCTGTACTGGAGGGACACGTGCATGCACTGCCCGTTTACGGAAGAAATTAGGTCCAGGCTGGTGGCTGGGGTAAAGGAATACTCTTCATTTTATATGACATTAGAGCATTTTAATTACATTTTACAAACCATGTGCATTTTGCAGTTTAGAAATCTTTGTTTCAAAAGGGTGGGGTACCCCAGTGAACTTGAAATGTCCCTTTGGGTGGCAGATCGGAGACTGATGTTCCAGGCTCGTCCCACCTTTACGACCGCGGTTTCCAGTTCCGATGCTCGTGTTAGATGTGGAGGGAGAGCCACCCGGTCCCCTGTGCATGGCGGCGCTACAGCGTTCTGCCGTGGTCCTGCTGAGGCTCTGGGCGGCCGATCTCATTGGCCAGTGACTTTCCAGGAGCGAGCTCCCCAGGTCAGAGCACACATCTCAGTCCCTCGGCAGCGGTGCTATAGGGATGCATTCCAGAAGGAACTGCCATGTGAGGTCTATGACTAAGCAAGTTCCCGTGCAGCTTCCCATGAACAGCATTGTTTTCCCCTGCCTTTTTTAAAAACCGATTTTAGAGAGGAAGGTGGGGGGAGAAACGTCAACTTACTGTTCCACTTATTTACACATTCTTAGTTAATTCTCGAATGTACCCTGATCGGGAGTCAAACCGGAAATCTTGGCATGTGGGGACAGTGCTTTAACCAACTGAGCTGCTGGTCAGGGCTCTGCTTTTTTTAGTTTTAATGGTACCTCATCAAGGTTTGGTTTTCCCCTCATTAGCATATTCCACAAACCTGCACTGCAGCCCCTTGTTCCTTAAACCATCCTCTGCTGCCCCAGAGCCCTTGCACCTTCCTCCCTGCACCTGCAGTGGTCTCCCCCTCAGCCTTCCCCGCCTGCTTTTTCAGTTTGCTTGTGTTCTCAACCTGGACAGGCTCTGGCACCAGAGCTGCCTCTGGGACAGGCTCAGACGAATAGCTACATAGTTTGTTCTTTCACTGGCAGCTTGTCCTCACTCCCGGTGGTCCCTGATGGCTGGGTGGGCACCCCACATGCTCTCAGCCACTTACTCAGCTGAGACCACTTCTTCCTGGAGCCTGAGGACCAGGGGCTGCCTGGAGGAGGGGGCCTGTGCATCTGGGAGGCTGGACAAGGACTTGAGACCACAGGAGTGGCCACAGCTTTTATATCCTCGCTCCCTGGTGTCCCTTGGGGGAGAGGCAAGAAGAGATGAAAGGTTAAGTGAGGGATCTGGGGAGGATGGGGCAGAGAGGAGGGGGCCTCTCCCCTGCCAGCCTGGGCAGGAGTGTCCAGTGCTGAGGACACATGGCCAATGGCTGGACACATGGCTGGAGGAAGGCCCTCTGCAGTGTGGGCTGGGCCTTTGCACCCTCCACCCATGTCACATGCAGCAGTGAGGGCAAAGACCCATTCTGGAGATGGGCAAGCTGTGGCCCAGGGAGGGGCAGGGGACAGCCACAGGCTTAGCCTCTGTCCCCTACTCGACCCGTAGTGATGACTACCTGTCTCTGGAGGGGCCCCGCTGGACACCAGCCATCAAGCAGGCAGTGCGCTGGAAGTATACACCCATGGGCCGTGATGCTGCCGGCCAGACATGGTACACCGGCCTAACCAACTCGGACCCCCGTGAAGCCTGGTACACGCTCCCAAGGGCTCTGGACAGCCCCTACCGGGAGGCTTACGCCCACTGGCATGGATGCCATAGCCACCGGAAGCACAGCATGCCCTCAGGTGCGTGCCTGGCCGTCCACCTTGACCCTTGCCAGCCCCAAGGGGAGGTCAAGGGCAAAGATGACCCTGTCTCCCACTCTCCCTACAGCCCAAGCCCAGCGCCTCCGGGAGACTGCCTGGTATGACCCCATCATGCCCGCTCAGTACAGTGCCCCCGGCACGCGGTGGGGGGCCATGCTGTGGAAAGACAGACCCATCTGGGGCAAGGAATATGGTGAGGCTGGCATCAGGGGCCAAGGGATGGGGGTAAAACTGCCTGGGTCCAGGAAACTGGAGCCAGGAGGTGACTCGGGTCCTGTCCCACAGTGGTCAACAGGCACCAATACGGGGTGGAGCCACCGGGGCAGGTGTCAGAATACGTGCCCTACCTGTCAGCAACGCAGCGTCCGCGCTACACAACCCAGAACTACCGGCAGTGGGACCTGGAACCCTATTGCCCATCCACTGGCCAGCGGTCCTCACCCATCTACATGCCCACTATCTGATAAAGACTGTCCCTGAGGGGGGACACTGTGCCTCTCCGCAGCGGTCTGTCTCCATCTGGGCACTGGGCACTAGCCGGCCAACACCTCAGTGACCAGAGTAGGTCCTCCTCGTCCCAGGCCCCCAGGAAGACAGCTGAGGCCAGCCTTCCTGTGAGCGCTTTATTCCAGCAGCACCCGGAAGCCCTAGCTGGACCAGGGGTGAGGGGAGCCGAGTTCAGGGCAGCCCCGTACAACATAGCAAGGGCACCCCAAGTCACCCATTAAAGTTAGGCTTAGGCACCCCCAAACCGATGAGGACCCATGGGCTCCCCATACCAGAAGGCCTAGCTCTGTCTCACCCCAATGGAGATGAGCCGGTGGGGTCCAGCCCCTCTTGTCCTCCCCCACCCTCCCTGCAGCCAGGCAGGAGAAGGTGGGGATCTGAGGAGCAGGGCCTAGAATATGCACGGTTGCAGCTCATTTGCATAGAGCAGGAGGCCATCTGGGAATGTCAGGGTTGAGCTCCAGGGACTCCTGCAAGAGAGGGGGGGTTTAGTGAGCATGGGGCCTGCCCCAGTCCTCCCACCCATGGCCAGGTTGGGAATAGAGGGGAGTGTCTGCAACTCACAACTCCGCAGGCGGATGGGCCAGATGAGGATGCTGCACAGAGAGAGGGCAGCGGCCACACCGACGCCGCCCGTCACGGCCACCATCACCCAGTGGTAGAAGCCTGCGCAGGCCCTGCAGCAGAGCTCCGAGCTGGGAAGGGGGAGGACAGAGCAGGTGAGCAGACATTTGTGGGGACTCTCGAGTCGGGGCCTCTGACTCTGCCCACCTCAGCTTCAGGCCGCCCTGCCTTTCCCAGCACCCAGGCCAGAACCTGGGGTCACCCTTGACCACCTTTCTTCCTCCCACACGACACTTCAGCCGATACTACCAGCGATGCCTGCAAAGTCTATCCCAGTTCTTCCCACTAATCTCCTTCCTCTACCTCCTCCTGGTCCAGCGCATCATCACCCACCTGGACCAGCCCTCACCTTCCACACGCCGTCCTTCTGGAGGCAGCCGCAAGAGGGCGCCTCTAAGCCCCTGGGCCAGGGCTCCCAAACTCCCTTGGGGTAAAAGCCCAAGACCTCCACAGGCTCTGTAAGACCTGCCTCAAACCTCTCCCCTTCACTCCCTGCTCCAGCTACACGGCTTCCTCTGTGTTCTTCCAGCACACCAGGCCCGGTCCTGCTCCAGGGCCTCTGCACTGGCTATTCCTTCCCATTTGCCTAGACCGCTCTGAGACCCACCAGGTCTCAGGACCAATGTCACCTCCTCAAGGAAGTCCTCCCTGACCTCCTGCACCCGTCAGCCTCCATAAGTGGTGGCCTTCACCCCCCTGACCCCTGGGGGATCACACATTTATTCCTGTGATTAACATGGTTCGTATTACCACCAACTCCATGACAACAAAAGACCAGGCTAGTTCTGGTTCCCAGATCCTGGGCTTCTAGAAGGCGAGAACTCAGTGGTCTAGGACTGAAATCCCAGGCTCTGAGGGTCTGAGTGACACAGAGCCTGGCCCCTGTAGCACCGCCCACTCACACTCCCACAATGCCCGGCACACACCAGTGCACCTTTGCTACATGAACTACAAATGAGTCACACTCACAAGCAGGGGTACAGGCTCTGGATGACCATGACTGCCAGCCCGTTGGCTACCTTATCCGAGAAGCTCATGGCGCCGTACACGAAGGCTCCGCTGTGCTGGGAGGACACAGGCAGGGAGGTCAGCGCCTGGGCCTGGGCCTGGGCCCCCGCCCCCACCCAGCCCTGCCCACCAGCCCTACCGTGTGGGGGCCGATGAGGTCCGCTGTCATGGCCAGTGAGGTGACGAGGATGGTGGCACAGCCCGTGCCCAACAGCACAGCTGCTCCATAGACAGCTACACCCAGCCCATCTGCCAATGCCACCCAGGCCGCAAAGGCCAGGATCACCAGAAGGCCCACGAAGTAAGTCATCTGCAGGAGAGACCAGCATCAGGTCCGCCTCGCTGTGCAGCTCCCAGCCTGGCGCTTGCCCTCTCTGGTCTTCAGCACCACCTTAGACCCTAATCCCAGAGGGGGAGGGGGCCAAGTTGGACCATCCCTAAAGGAGCCCCCAGCTCTGACCTCACCCAGGAGCTGACAGTCTAGGGACAGGTGGCTATTTACATCGTAAGTGCAAATCTATTAAAATTAAATAAAATGGCCCAGCTAGCATGACTCAACGGTTGAGCACTGACCTATGAACCAGCAGGTCACGGTATGATTCCTGATCATGGCACATGCCCGGGTTATGGGCTCAATCCCCAGTGCAGTAGGTGCAGGAGGCAGTCAATGACTCATCATTGATGTTTCTCTCTCCCTTCTCTGAAGTCAATAATACATTTTAAAAAATTTTAATAAAACATTCAGTTCTTCCATCATGCCTGCCACATTTCAATACTAAATAGCCACCCTAAAAAAAAAAAAAAAGTGAATAGCCACCCTGGCTAGCACATGGTCTGCATAGAAATTTCCAGAGCCCTGCAGCCCCAAGACACCCAGGAGCCAGGATTCTAGAACTCGGATCTGCGACACAGGGCGGCCACAAGGCGTAGAGGCCGAGGTATGCAAACACCTGGCTTCCGTGCACCCGAGTTCTGAGGGTCCCTGTCTATGGCACGCCCCCACCGCCCCACACCAACCCTCACTCACGTTCCTCCCGATCCACTTGTTGACCGGGTTCATGAGGAAGGAGGAGAAGAAGCCGCTGAGGTACATCACCAGCGGGATGGTGGCGATGAACTTCTGTTGGGGCGGAGTGGACACGGCGGCGGGTCAGGTGGGCCTCCTGGGGCTCAGGGGCCACCCCACAGCCCTGCCCCCGCCCCAGCTCACCTTGGGCAGGTTCAGGGAGTAGGTGAGATACATGGCCATGTACGTCTGGGACAAGTTCACGATGAGCCTCGTGCTCATGTACAGGAAGCCCACCTGCGGGCAAACGGGGGCTGGTTCAGGGTCAGACACCAGCGGGGGACACCGAGGGCCTCGCTGCAGCTCACACCTGACCCACCATTAGGGACCACGGCTGGTCCGGGGGAGAGGAAAGCAGTCACTGATCTGCAGTGTCTGCCCCGCTGTGAGACGGGGAACCTGTTGCTCATCTATGGGCCATCCTGTCTGCAGCCCGGGAGCAAGGGCCAGGTGGGGCACAGGCGTCCACTCCCGCCAGCTCTGCCCCATCACGTACCTGGTAGAAGGCCGGCTGCCGAAGCCAGTGTTTCCAGAGCACCAAGGGGCGGGCCGTGGTGGGGGCCAGCAGGGGGCTGTGCTCATCCGGCTCCTCCACCAGCTGCTTGCGGCCCTCCCTGGTGCCCAGGTGGAACAGCAGTGAGAAGATGGCGCCGATGCCCACCACCAAAAGGGAGAGGTTCTGAGGACCCACAGAGAAGGAGGCGTCAGCAGTGGCTCTCACGGCCCAGGCCCGAGCTCAGGGCCTGGGGGGAGGTCCCATCCTGCTGGCAGCATCCTTGGCCCCCTCCCCGGCCCCAGCTCACCCGAAACACTGGCACATCTTGGACCCCCAGCTGGCCACTGACATCCGGGGTGGGCCCCGTGTTGGAAGAGGCCTGCAGGTGGAGCAGGAGCCAGGCGGCACCGAAGACGGTGATGTTGGCCACCACGGTGAAGGCGTACCTGGGGGACAGGCGAGGCCTCAGCATGGCAGCCCAGGAAACCACACGGCCACTTCCGCTCCAGGCGGCCACACAAGTGAGAGCTGCTTGTGGTGTCTGGGGGACCTCTGGGTGACACATAATTTCAGCCACCAAACCTGGGGTGGCCCCTGGGAAGCCCCTGCCGACCCCAGCTCGCCTAGCCTGCATGTTGTCTGATGATGTTCAACTCTGACCCTCAGCCACCATGAGGGGGCGCTGGGATGCAGACACACAGCAAAGTAGGGTCCAGTCAAGTCTGAGAACCCAAGAAGCTCAGAAGCCAGGACTCTGGAATTTTTAGTACCAAGGCCCTGGGCTTCAGCAGGGCAAGGTCTACAATACCTGGGTCTACAAATCCTGGCCCCTGCCTGCAGCCCCGACGTGATATCCCTTCAGTTGCAGGAAGGTCAGGGGAGGAGCAACCTCTGGATCTCACCAGGACTCAGTTACCCTTTCTAAGCGTAAGAGAACAGCCAGGCCGGTGTGGCTCAGTGGCTGAGCATTGACCTCTGTACCAGGAGGTCACGGTTTCATTCTCAGTTGGGGCACAGGCCCGGGTTGTGGGCTCGATCCCCAGTAGGGGCGTGCAGGAGGCAGCCGATCAATGATTCTCATCATTGATATTTCTCTCTCTCTTCTTCTCAGAAATCAATAAAAATATAAATAAATGTAAGAACAATACCCAGAGGTCCTAGTGAAGATGATACAATGCTGGCAATAAAGCACTTGCAGGTAGAACGTGTATCAACACTTGGCCTGGCCTAGCCTGACCCCTAACATCTGGGGCCCTCAAGGGTTGAGCAACCTGTCGTTAGTGCTTGCAGCTCTCAGCCATAATGGGGAACTTGAAGGGGTGGGGAGCAGACCAAACAGGCTGAGCTGGAGACAGGCAGGACCCTCCACAAAGATGCTGCAACACAGCAAGAGTAACATGCTCCCACCGGGCGCCAACTGTCAGCCGGGCTCTGAGCTCCAGCAGCACCGGCGGCCCTCACATGCACCCTCCGCTCGGGCCGGAACAGCCGCCTCCTTTTTCTTAATGCTCAGGTCCCACAGGCACTTTGGTCTGGCCTGGGGCACATGACAACCTGGGTGTGTTGTGAGGATTAAAGAAGCTAACCGTGCTGAAACCAGTTTGGCTCAGCGGTAGAGCGTCGGTCTGCAGACTGATAGGTCCCAGGTTCGGTCCCGGTCAAGGGCATGTACCATGGTTGTGGGCACATCCCTAGTAGGGGGTGTGCAAGAGGCAGCTGATCGATGATTCTCTCTCATCGATGTTTCTAACTATCTTCCTCTC